CATAATTTGAGTTTGATACCCTTGATCTAATGAATACTTTGGATTTTACCATTTTAATATAAAACTAATTTAAATTGCTTTACAATGTTTTTCAAATTTGTATGGTAGGAGAAAATTTGGCAGAAATTGGGGGGTGTGGGGGGGGGGAGGAGGGGAAATTAATGCAAAATATTACTTTTTTGAAACCGGGTCTCTAAAAAATGTGGTTCTAAAAGATCACTTAATTTGTTCTTAAAGATCGCTTAGATTGTTGTTAAAGATCGTTTAGTTTGTTGTTAAAGATCGTTTAGTTTGTTGTTAAAGATCGTTTAGTTTGTTGTTAAAGATTGTTTAGTTTGTTGTAAAAGATCGTTTAGTTTGTTGTTAAAGATCGGTGAGTTTGTTCATAAAGATCGCTTAGATTGTTCTAAAATATCGCTTAGTTTAATCTTAAAGATCGCTTAATTTGTTCTTAAAGAAAGCTTAGTTTGTTGTTAAGGATCGTTTAGTTTGTTGTTAGAGATCGTTTAGTTTGTTGTTAAAGATCGTTTAGTTTGTTCTTAAAGATCATTTAGTTTGTTGTTAAAGATCGTTTAGTTTGTTGTTAAAGATCGTTTAGTTTGTTGTTAAAGATCGTTTAGTTTGTTGTTAAAGATCGTTTAGTTTGTTGTTAATGATCGTTTAGTTTGTCGTTAAAGATCGTTTAGTTTGTCGTTAAAGATCGTTTAGTTTGTTCATAAAGATCGTCTGGTTTGTTGTTAAAGATCGTTTAGTTTGTTTTTAAAGATCGCATTAGTTTGTTGTTAAAGATCGTCTAGTTTTTGTTAATGATCGCTTTATTTGTTCTTAAAGATCGTTTAGTTTGTTCATAAAGATCGCTTAGTTTGTTGTAAATTCGCTTAGTTTTAGTTGTTAGAGATCGTTTAGTTTGTTGTTAAAGATCGTTTAGTTTGTTCTTAAAGATCATTTAGTTTGTTGTTAAAGATCGTTTAGTTTGTTGTTAAAGATCGTTTAGTTTGTTGTTAAAGATCGTTTAGTTTGTTGTTAAAGATCGTTTAGTTTGTTGTTAATGATCGTTTAGTTTGTCGTTAAAGATCGTTTAGTTTGTCGTTAAAGATCGTTTAGTTTGTTCATAAAGATCGTCTGGTTTGTTGTTAAAGATCGTTTAGTTTGTTTTTAAAGATCGCATTAGTTTGTTGTTAAAGATCGTCTAGTTTTTGTTAATGATCGCTTTATTTGTTCTTAAAGATCGTTTAGTTTGTTCATAAAGATCGCTTAGTTTGTTGTAAATTCGCTTAGTTTTTTCATAAAGATCGCTTAGTTTGTTCTTAAAGATCTTTCAGTTTGTTTTTAAAGAACATTAAGTCTTCTGTTAAAGATCGCTTAGTTTATTCTTATAATTTATTAAAGATCATTTGTTTTGTTCTTAAAGATTCTTTAGTTTGTTATTTTCTTTTTTTTTTATTACTTTTTTTTTTTTTTTTTGTCTAAAAATTTTTTTACCCACACAACCCGGGGGGGGGGGGGAACAAGTGCCCCCCCCCCTGCGGGCGCCCATGGTAACATAGTAGCATATTGAAAATATACCTAGGCCTAGCTTAAACTATCTCAAATCGACAGAGGTGTTACGCCAACGTCTCTCTCGCCACACATTCCATAATTTCAAAGGCATGGGAATAAAATATCATTTAAATCAGGGTTCTCAAATTCCCGGCCCGCAAGACGATATTTTGCGGCCCGCGACGTGACAGCAATTTGAAAGTTTAGTATTAATGCACACCGTTTCAGTCGAACCTCACCGACTAGTTTAATTCATATTTTATTAGTTTGTATAGTAGGTACTTTAAAACTAGTCGACGCACCGATCTGCACATGTCCAAAAATGTCGAAAAAACTTGTCCTACAATATGGCGTACAGCTACACGGTATCTTTGGAAAATAGTATACTACGTCACCTTTGTTTATTAAGTAATTGCTTTCCTCATCAGTGACGTATCAGTTTTCGTGTTCCGGTCTAGAGACCGACCGAAAGTGATTTTCTGATTTCGGCCGAAGCCGAAAATAGGCCGAAAGTTTAAAATGACTTTCGGCCGAAACCGAAAAAAGGCCGAAAGTTTAAAAATGACTTTCGGCCGAAACCGAAAAAAGACCGAAAGTTAAAAATGAATTTCGGCCGAAACCGAAGCCGAAACCGAAAATGAAATATTAAGATATTTTGAAATTCGTTCCCGCATACATTCTGCTTAAATGATGTGGGAAAATATAAATATTTACATTCTTTTTATAAAAATGAGATAATCTTAAATATTAATAAATAAAAATCTAATTTAGGGTTCTCAAACTCGCGGCCAGCGAGCCATTTGTGACCCGCAAGA